TACGTTTTCAATTAATTTAAAATCAAACCTTTTCACAAAATCTCATTTTTTATGAAAATGATTTTCTCGGCTAATATTTTTTTATATCTATCAGATTTTACAAAATTACTTATTAAAAATAAAATTCATTTTATCAAATCATTTTATAAAATCATGGTTTGTATGAAAATAATTTTGTTGAGTGTAATTTTTTATCTATCAGATTTTATAAATTATTGATTAAAAATTGAAATCACATTTTACAAATGGGCAATATATATTTTTTATTTTTATTTGGAAACAAACTTTAAATCATCAATGGTATTAGACATGTTATATTCACAATTTGAAATTTTATAGTTCTTTTTATAAATATACAAATAAGATATAAAAATGCAATGTAAACAACTACAACATTCTCAGTCTTTTCAATAGAAAACGTAATAAACAATGGGTGAAAAAAAATACACAATTTTGATGATACACAATTAGCATTCACGTGAAAAAAATATACAACATGAATAAAAATCACCATTAGCGTTCAATGGTATTAGACATGTTATACTCACAATTTGAAATTTTATAGTTTTTTCTTTAAAAAAAAAAGATATAAAAGTGCAATATAAACAACTACAACATTCTCAGTCTTTCAAATAAAAAACGTAATAAACAATGCGTGAAAAAAATACACAATTTTGATGATACACAATTAGCATTCACGTGAAAAAAATATACAATATGAATAAAAATCACCATTAGCGTTGAATGTAACTTTATTTCCATATTATTTGTTGTTAAAACGATTAATATGCTTATAAGTATCATATCAGCCCCACACAAAAAAAAAATCACCATTGACGAACATACGAGTAATTAGTGAATCCATAGTAAGTGCCAAACAAAAAATAGATCAATCTTTCGGTCTTATCGAGAAAGTTGAACGAGCAAAGAGAGTTATGTTGCAACTTCGAGTGGTTCGCATGTTTGAGAGTAAATTTCCTAATTCTTATCATAGCATCATAAATTCATAATATTGAGGTATAATATTGGTTATTGTTTCTTTTTTCTTTTCACTTTCATTTCGTTATTTTTTTTTGTGCAGACTTCTGACAAATAACTTCCAGTCATTTCAAAGGGGAGTTGTTAGGATATTGTGAATGCAACTATTAATGCTTCCACCATTTGGAGCGATTGTACTGTATTGCGACTTTCAGAAAACATGCGTCTTCAGAACATTTCTGATTCGGACGAGCGTGACAAGATAGCAACGTTTACTAAATGGATTGTTATAATTGAGATGGACATGTAGGAGGATCAAACAATAGTTGTGTCTACATTAACATTCTAGACGTTACAAGACTGGAACCCTTCGATGATCCAATTGCTACAATCGTGGAAAGTACCTATCCAATGTTCAAGAATACAACTGACAATTCTAGACATTTGAATGATAGTGCTCTATTAGCGTCTACTTTGGAGGTCGTTGAGTCTATCAATTAATACATGTCGAAGATGAATTCTGACGAAGGTCGTATGTATTTGAGCTCTGACATTATGTGGAAGTCCTACTCGAATAATAACGTTTTTTTGTTTTGGGCAAAATCTCCACACTTCTGAGTTCTTGAATAGCATCAAGTTTTCAGGAACACCGAACCATGAATTGCATTTGAAAATGGAACTCCAATCATGTTATTAAGGAACGTGGACCATTCTATGGGACTGTGCAATGGAACACGCTTGGTTGTTACCAAGTTTTCTACTCATGTGCTTGAATATAAGATATTGACTGGAGATCATGAAGGTGAGAATGTGTTGATTTCTCGAATGAATATGATACCTTCCGATGTTAGGGTTCCATTTATGTTCCAGCGTAGGCAGTTCCCCCTTATGATTTTATATACCATGACCATAAACAAGAGTCAGGGTCGTATTTTTTTTTTCATTTTGGCATGCTCTTAAAAAAATTGGTATTTATTCATGGCCAGTTATGTACTGTTGTTTTATGAGTAACTAATATGAAGGAGTTGAAAGTATTAGTTTATGAGGACGATGAGTTGTCCGACAGTCAAACTATAATGTTGTGTATAAGGAGGTTTTAATAATGAATTTTCATGACAATTTTTTTATGATTACTTGACAAATGCTCTACGTATTATAACTTATTGATTAATAACATTTACCAAAATAAATATTATCCGTGCATCGCACGGGTTACGTACTAGTTCTTTTAAATATGTTTTTTTTTTTTTTATTTCAAAACTATAAACTATGTGTATATACTTATATGGTAAATAATAAATATTTATTATGAGATACTGTATTATTAACACTTTGTGTAAAAATTTATATACGAAACATTTAATTCTGGCATTTTTATGTATATTTATTATATGACGAAATGTATTATACAGATAATTTTAAAATTTTGTAATATGGTTCAACAATTGACCCGATGACCCAGATAGATGTCCGAGTCAATAAAGTTAAAGAAAATGTCAAATTATCCAAGTTCTTTAATGAGAGTGGCGGTCTAGGCTTGCCAAGCTCGTGACTCGAAACGGGAACATGATAGGTTGTCAATATTTCAACCCGTTATATAAAAGTCCACGAAGGTAGAAAATATTTCTGCTATCTAATATAAAGATGTACTATTGAAGTATGTGTATTTGGCGGTGAATTATACCTTATATACGTGTGGATAGGATTTTGAGCCATCAAATTAAAACTTTTGCATATACAAGTGTGCGTGTATTTGATCAAACATTTCGAACTCGAAGGTAAGAGTTTAAACCGTAAGATCAAAATGTACCTACACGAGCATGTTTGCGTGATCAAACGCTTCAAACGGGTGTGGTTTACCTTAAAATCCCCACTTGACCATGAATTACTGTTAAGAGTGTTAACGTACAGATTCAACAACAAAAAGTTGCAATAAGTATATATAAGACGTAATTAAGACGAACGAGACATGAATGTGATGATATTAAAGCTTGCTTTATTAAGCTTGCACATGTTTCCGGTGTTTTTTCGAGTGTTCTCGAATGTATTTTTCGATCATTTAACTTCAATTAAGTTATTACAGTTTATATTAGGTAAAAAAAACCAACGTGACTTCTTGATGAGACGTCAGTTGCATGCAATTGCAACATGCATGCTTAGTGGTAGCGCATCTTTTTGGAGATGAGACATATATATATCGTAACTTTTTGTACAGTAAATGATAATATCGGTATGAAGAAAGCGCTATTGGTGCTAAGATCAACATGAAGTAAGCTCCATACAGATAGTGCCGATGTTAGGATTTTGTTCATGGGAGACAACTATCGACGTGGCTTTAGCGAACGCGAAGTACCGATGTGATCTTTAATTAGGAAGACGATGCGCGACACTATTGATGATACACGTTAGCCCTACTTCTACATTATTTAAACGTTAATTCACAAACATTATGTATAACAAAGCGCTATCACTAATGAAGCGAAAACGACGAGCTTTATTTATTCTCTTTCCCATTAGATAATGGGGGCCGGTGGATATCACAACCATGAAGCATTGACTCCAACTGGGTGGCAATAAAGACAAAATCAATTGATTTAATAAAAATAGTTGATTTGTATTGTGTAATTAATGGGACATGTAAAAATCATAAACAAAGAAACAATTCAGTTAGACATTTTTCAACAGTTTCGGGAGTGGTTTATCGGGCTGCGGACCAATCTGTTGGGGCCGATCGTGTTTCTGCTGGCGCTTTTTGTTGGGTTTGGTTTGCCTACTATATAAGGACTATGTTTGTTTAATTTGTTGTTTAAGTGTGTTTGTTTTTGTTTTTGTGTTCTAGGTATTGTGTTTTGAGTTTGAGTCTTTTGGTTTTTGTTTTTTGTTTTTTTTCCTCCCAAACAGGAGCGTGTATTAATCATTGTGAGATCGTTGATTATACATTATTGGAGCTTTTTAGTTCTTTTGATGTGCATTGAATGTGTTGCCTAGTGTTGCTAGCGTAGGTTGTAGGCGATCTTTAAACTTGTCCTCTTATTTTTATTCGACATTTAGTTGTATCAATCAAATATGGGTTGTTTCTCCGTTTGCACATTTGTTCGTTTCTATAGAATTTCTGTCATTTTTTTTTTCTTTTTTTTTAAAAAAAAAGAGGTAATCTAATAATGTGTGTAATCAAGATCATGTACCTCTGGCTTCTACTTAGATCAAAATAATAGAAAAGTCTAAGCACATCCAAATACCATTGCATGGTGCTTAAATCAAAAACCATGGGCATGGCAAACTAATCATGTGAAATGCAATCTAAGACCCGAAAATTAGCTATGACCACTTTAAAGTATAAACCAATGTGCTGCTGTCTACACTTGGTCTACAGTCTCTAGACACACTAGTGAATAAAATGAATGAATCATATTCCACAAATACAGTGTATAAGTTATTTTGGAAAATTACAATAAATTCCTTAAACTTTCTTCGGGTGTGTTTTGTATATAAATTTTCTCAATTCACGCTCCAAATTTAATTCAATTATATTATTCTCCATATTATTAATATAATTAAATAGTATAAACCACTCATTCATACACGTCACGTCAACTGTAATTTACTATTAATCAACTCACATAATTTTAGTTAACTATCACTTCACATCATCTCTCTTATTTTTTTATCAAATCAAATTTCATTATTTTATTTTAAATATTATTTTAATATAAAATTAAAATTCCACAAACAAATAACTATAACAGTTTTTTTCAAAATTAATGGGTAACTGGTTATATTTTTTACAATCTATATACATTTTATATTTTATTACCAATGTATCAAGTCGTCACATTCAATTAAAATTTTCAAGAAAAAAACAATTTTGAATATGTATTTTATAAAATTGCATAAATGAAAAATGAAAAATAAGGCCGTGATATCGGGAATATTCTCATTCGGGTTAATTCGGTTTTCGTTGCTATTACCTCGAGAACAATTTTGCAGAGAAAAGCTTCAGAGAGGCACCAACAACGGTTGCGATGGGTGAGAGCGGTACTGCCGTGGCTGCCCAGGAGCAGAAGCAAGTCGCCGACAGCCACAAAAACGACGCCGTTTGCAGCTCCGGCGACACTCCTCCGCCGTCTGATCGCCCGGTTCGTGTGTACGCCGATGGGATCTACGATCTCTTCCATTTCGGCCATGCTCGATCCCTCGAACAGGCCAAGAAGCTGTACGGATTTTGTAGTTTTTATTTGTTCTGTTATTGATCTTTTCTCGGCTTGTGTCTTTTTAGGTTTTCTTCCCTGTTTTGGTGTTATGGGTTGGGGTTAATATTATGTTTCATGGTCACAAAGGTGCTGATTTTATGTCTGTGTGGTTCTAATTACGTTTTTTAACGGGATTACGAGTAAAGACTCGAACTTTTTTTCCCCCAATTTGTTCAGATCAAAATTTGTGCTTGACTTTGTCTTTGTCTTTGGCTTTGCCATCGATTTCTTTTGAATATGGAGAAATCTGTTCATTAGATGTTATCAATTTGTTTTCTGGTTGTGTAGTGGTAGTTCTCACAGACTATGTTCTTACTTTTCTCTGTTTTGAGTTGCTGAGTTGATTTCTCCGTATTTGTTCTGTAATCAATATCTGTAAATATTTTCTTTTGTGAATCAATAGCATCTGATTCTGATGCATGTCGAATTAGTTCTGGTTAAAATCAATGCCATTAACAAGAGTCATATCCTTGTAAATATGTAGGTTCCCAAATACATACTTGCTCGTCGGGTGCTGCAGTGATGAGGTCACACACAAGTATAAAGGAAAGACAGTTATGACCGAATCCGAGCGCTATGAATCCCTTCGTCATTGCAAGTGTGTTTCCTTTATCCCATTTCTTATTTTCGCCTCTGCAAGATTTGTGAAGGACGATCTTTCTGTACTTGTTGTATCTTGGTTCGATTGGTCTGCATGAGGCCGACTACTCAGCATTCCATCACATTGACTTAAAATTTAATTTCTATATGTATATTGGGTACAATTGAGGGATGAATGCTAATTATGTGCCGATTGTTTTTTTATTGTAAAACTTATTCTTGTTGCAGTACACTTGTGATGATCGGACAATTTGATATCTGAAATCTGTTGTCTGGCAGGTGGGTTGACGAGGTTATTCCTGATGCCCCATGGGTGATTAATCAAGAGTTCCTCGACAAGCATAATATAGATTACGTGGCTCATGATTCTCTTCCGTATGAGCCTTTTGTCCGTAAACCTTTAGATCAAACTTCAGACTTCGTGAGATCTTTCTTACGTTTATTGGAAAAACACCAGTTGAATTACTCTTGCTATTGCTTTTTTGAGTTGTGTGGCCAAATTCCGTGTACTTCACTTGTTTTTAATCAATTTAACATGGTAATTGGTTCAACTAGGTTTGTGATAAATTAATTGCAAGTGTTGAGGTGCTAACTGGTATTTAATAGCACATGCCTGGAAAATTTATGCATGTCGAAAGCAATCTAGTGTTATTGAACTGGCAGAGAGAAGCCAAGCCACGCATGCCAAATTAAATAGTTTTGCAAATGGGCTAATCTTGTTTTAGTTTATTGCAGTCTGAACAGGTCGGTTTAGCAACTATGAATTGTAACGTAGTAATTTATTATTTTTTTTTCCAAACCTTTGGTGCGCTATAACCTGTCTTGCAGTTATGCTGATACAAGCGGAGCTGGAAAGGATGTTTATGAATTTGTAAGCATTCCATTGACTGTATATCGATTTTATAATATAATTCACACCATTTTATCTTGATATGAGTTGGTTTCTTTATCTTCTTCTTCTTCTTTTTCTTCCCTCTAAACTTTTCTCTTATAATAGATACCTGGTTTTCAATGTAGGTCAAAGCTGTGGGAAAATTTAAAGAGACTCAAAGGACTGATGGAATTTCGACCTCTGATATTATTATGAGGATAGTTAAGGATTATAATCAGTATGTGATGCGCAATTTGGATCGTGGGTATTCAAGAAAGGAGCTTAATCTTAGTTATGTTAAGGCAAGTTTAACGGAAGCCTTTTATTCTCTCCCCCTTTTCGTTCACGTGAATTGATTTCTATGCACCTACATTCATAAATCCTGCTGCAAACATTTTATTCCTACTTAATTATATGTTTTGTCGGTTAGGCTAATAACGGAAGCTTTTGTTGTAATTTTTTTAGGAAAAGCGTCTTAGGGTGAGTATGAGACTGAAGAAGTTGCAGGAAAAAGTCAAGGAGCAGCAAGAGAAGGTGGGGGAGAAGGTACAGCTTCTCGTGGTGGATAAATATTGTTTTGATAATATTTGTTATTTCGTTCCTCCATCCAATGTTAAATCACTCAACTGACTGAATCCCAAGAGCTCTCATTTTTTACCACTGCAATCACGTATATAGTTTTACGTTCAGAGTTACCAACCCCCAAATCTGGGGTATATTGATCAAAACCTCAAACCCCAACCTTAATTTTCAATCGAAATCCACTCCCCCATCTTTAAGTACCCAAATCAAGAAATATGGACTTCTATTTTTTCCTTAGGCGATCCCCTTTCTTTTCCCCTCTCATATAGCCATGCTCTTTTAAAGCCTTTTAAAGAACTTATTGGTGTATCTTTTGACATGGTTTTATCTTTCAATGTTTTAATATCTTACGTTGTTCAGATACAAACTGTTGCTAAAACAGCCACCATGAACCGTAACATGTGGGTTGAAAATGCCGACCGGTGGGTTGCTGGATTCCTTGAGATGTTCGAGGAAGGCTGCCATAAAATGGTACGCATCTTCTTTTTGTTGTGCCCCTGATATCCTAGCCTTAGGTTATGTTTGGTGAACCTAGCTGTTAAGCTAGCTTATAGCTTTTAAGTGAATTTCGAGCTTATAGCTTATGACTTATAGCTGAAAAGCTAGCTTATATGGTAAAAGTGTGGTAAAATTAGCTGATATAAGCTACATGAAATAAAAATTCAATGAGCTTATTTGAAAAGCTACCCAAATCGAGCTTTTTAAAAAGCTCGTCCTACCAAACGAAGCTTATAAGCTAACCAAATAAATTGTAACCTAGCTTATTTGGTTACCGAACATAGCCTTATATTGTCCATCAAATTTATACAATTACAAATGCACGGTTCTTTTCTTTTCGTTTTTCAGTAATAATAAATAAATAAATAATACGCGCTTTCGACTCTCAGGGAACTGCCATTAGGGATCGAATTCAAGAACGACTCAAGGGACAAAGGGCTTTGATGAATGGGGATGAGAGTGACGATGAGTATTATTACGATACGGACGATGAAGAATATTATTACGAAGATGAAGAATATTACGACAGTGACGAGAAATGAAACTCTGTATGTATATTAAACCATTTGTAGTAACTTGGGCTTGTCTTTTTTTTTT